AGTTTGGAGAAAAGAAATCTCTGAGGTGACCTTATAGTGACTTTTCAGTATCTGAAGGGAAGCTACAAGAAAGAAGGGGACAGACTCTTTAGCTGGGTCTGTTGCAATAAGACAAAGCAAAATGGTTTCAAACTAAAAGGAGGAAGATTTAGACTGGGTGTAAGGAAAAGATTTTTGACTGTAAGGGTAGTGAAACACTGAAACAGGTTGCCCAGAGATGTGGTCACCCCATCCCTGGAGACAATCTAGATCAGGCTCTGAGCAACCTGATCTAGCTGTAGATATGTCCCTGTTCATTGCAGGGGATTTGGGCTAGATGACCTTTAAGGATCCTTTCCAGCTCAAATCATTCTATGCCTCTATACGGGGGAAAAAAAAAAAAAAAAAAAAAGTCATCCTTTCAAGTCTATTGTAGAGAGCAGGATGGAAAAACCCTCCAGGTCAGTGGGCTGCCCAAAAGCCCCAGTTTAGAGGATGCTTGTGGACGTGGATGCCTTGTCTCAATTTGCAGATACTTCATGTTATGGATTCCCCATGGGAATAAGCTTGCAGGTTACTGAGAGCATCATTTTACACAGGAAGAGTAAAAACTCTGCATTTAGGCAATCCTCATTGGAAAATCATAGCCCAAGGGTGTAATAAGATGCCAGTGTTATGAAACTGAAACAGGCCTTGGACACATTGAATTAAGGAGTAAGAGGAGCTTAGACAATTAATAGCAAAATTGCTCTTAAATATAAATGAGTATTTAGAGGATTACATTTTTTTATAAGTCCTTGTAATAGCACAAGGAAGTGATCCACATTGCTTTCCTTCATTGTTTTTCCTTGCAGAAAAACACTTATGTGAAATGCCCTCTATTCCCTTCAGACTAGCCTTTGCTGTTTGTTATGCACTGTAATGGCACTCATTGCTTCCCAAGCACATCTGCAGAGTCTGGCTCCATTTATCCCAAGTGCTGAATTCTGCCAGGGGTCCTGTTGGTTCTATATGGCACCAGCATGGTCAGGGATGTGATGTAAAATAATGCTGAGGAGAATCCAGCTTTTGTAATTTTAGTGGTGTGTACAAGGACAGGTCTCTGAAAGAGGAAAAACTCCAACTTTTTAAAGAATGGTTGCATTCATACTTGCAAGTGCAAAGAAGCAACTCTTTTCTGTACTCAAAAAGTAGGGTTTGGGAGGAACCTGGAGGCTGGTTGTTGTCCAAGGGGCTGTGAATGCTTTCTGGTTGCCCTCTGCAGCCTGGAAATGTGAATACAACTTCTATTCTCACCTCTGGTCGGGCTGTGCCATCTCTGGTGGCAAAGGAAGGAGGAGTCCTTGCTGTACCATCAGGATGTGCTTTTCTAGGGATGGGGTTAATTGACTTTTTAGGGCAGTGGGAGGGAAGTCAGGGTGAGCTGACAGCTGTTTCATTAGTCGGGCTGCTGAATAAAGCAGTTAAGAGACTGCACGCCCCCAGAGTTAACCTTTCCAATCTGTGTTTCAAAGCTTGGCAGTGAGGTTAGGTTTGACAAGGCTGATGAGGTGGGGGAGGGGAGGTTAATGTGTTCCATTGCAGACAGCTAAGGGGGAGAAAAAAGTTTTGCTTTTGTGATGACCTGAATTATTCTCTCCTACTCTAAATGAAATGATGGCTCACCTGGGAGAAGAGAGGAGATTTAAAAGCAAATAATGATTCATAAAATCTATTGCTACAAGATAAATAAGTTTCAAAGAACCCCTAGCACTCTGCTAGCTTGTGCTCTGTGAACAAAAAAAGTATAGCTGAAAGCCATTAACTCAATTAACACTGTACAATACATCAGAGCTACTTTGTGTTGACTGAAGGTCAGCTCAAGGCAACAATGTCCTGGTCTTACTGATAGTCTGAGGCTACAAAACCTCCTTACCAGGGAATGGTCCAGCAGCACATGGCAGCATGAGCATGGCTGCTGGCTCAGCAGCTTGGGTTTTGGTGTTTGCGTACTGCGTAGGCTTCTTTTTGTTCAACTCTCCTCTCCTGGAACTTGCTTCTTGTTACTTCCAGGCCAGCATCAAGGTCTTCTGGCAGAAATGTCGAGGACCAGTGAGTGTGCTTTGGGCTGCTCTTGTTTGCTAGGGGACCCATGCTTCAGCATCCCATCAGATGTTGCAATACTCTGCGCCATTGTCAATCCAGAGGAAACCCCTAGCCCATTAGTTTGCACTGAGGAGAGTGGAAGCCCCACTGTATCAGGAGCATTCTGCCAAATGAAGTAATAAGTCAGTCCAAGACTCTGCTCAGCCTTGTCAAAGGGCAGCAGAGAGACGTGTGGCTGAGAGCTGGGCTGGGTTGGGAGCAGGCTCTGTTTGAATGTTTGCCCTTTGAATTAATTCTGGTTGGCCTACTTCAGCAAGGATTGAAGAATTTTTTTTCAGTTTGCCCTGATCTATCCCCTGGTGAGCATGCGCTTGTTATTTTTTAATGAAACCATTTTCACAGCCTGTTGTTTTAGGTGTTGAGAATGAATGTAAGTGAGGTTATTTTTTTGGTTTGTCTTCTATTCTCTTTCTTCAGAGTTCCCGGTGCCACGTGGTCACTTTTAGCTGCTGCCTCACACTCAGCTCAGCAGGGCTGTTTGCTCTGCAGATAAAAACAGTGTAAGGATGTAATTCATGATTTAAAAAAAGATCTCTCTTACAGGAGTTATAACTAAGTATTTCGATCTTTCCTTGGAAGTGACGTGGAGATAGACTTGAGGGTATTGTTCTGGCTTGAAACTATTCTGAAGCACTGGCATTTGAGCCTGTAGGCATAGGATATATGTGGCATGGGATGCACAGAAGTTACTGTGTGAAATTGCTCTTTATTTTCATCCTCTGTTCAGGTCGAACACAAAGCACTTATGTTGGATGAGGTCACCGATCCATCTTGCTTTCTACCCTGGTGCAAGCCCAGCATCTCTCTTCTCCCATCACAACATGTACATATTCTCCCCCAAAAGTGATTTCACTGCAAGCAGAACACCAAGCATCCTGCATTTCTGGGAGCTCAGCTTCACAAGATCTGCTGTTATTCTCCCTTGCACTGGAGCTTCTGATGACTCAGTGGCTGTATGGGGCCAGGTTGATACCTTCTGAAGCATTGTTTTGTCTCTGAAGGAGCAGGTATTGCAGATTTCTTAATGAAAGTAAACTCTAGGTTTTAGGTAATGAAGACATTGTGAAAAAGGTTAGTTCTAAAGATCCAGACAACTGAAAGTGAATTAAAAATATATTTGATTTTTATTTTTTTTAAGTGAATGCTTCTTCGGCCACTAGCATTGATAATCAATTAAAACACTGATTACTGATTTAGGACAAATGCCAGTAAGCTTTCTCTAACACAGAAATAAAAATATTCCTAGGGAGGAACAGCATAGCATTGTTATTTACTCTATTATATCCCTGTGATCAGCCACATCAAGTAAGAGATGTATGAGTTAAAAGGGATTAAACAGCAACAACAAAAAAAAAAGGCAGCCTTTATCGTAAACAAATACATACAGCTTTATTTCTCCTTCTCAGTATAGCTTGCCAGGAACAGATTTCATAATGGGACACTATTATCATAACTTTAATCTTGTTTAAATTCAAAATTCTTCCTGCAAGCCTTGAGGCCTAGAGGAAAGACCTTTAGTAAGTTATCTTAAGAAAACAGATTGCCTGTGAATCACTTCTTATAGTCTATAAAATCCTTTGTAATTTACAGAACAGCTGTCCATAATAAAACATCAGAGAAGCTCTACTTTGAGTCCTTAAGCTGAAATAAACACGATACAGAAAAATACACTTATGTGAAATACATTTACAAAGGTGTGGGTGTCAGCTAGAAGCTTTCACCACCTTGCCATTCAGTGTCCTAATGCAGCTGGTTAGAAAATGCTGCACATTAAATGATAGCCAATAAAAATCCACAGGGGAGCTCAGAGATCACCTACCAGGCTTCCTCGAAAAATGTGATTTCTGAATTTGAGCGGGAGAAAATGTTTCTAAATGCAGGTTTTCTTGAATCATTGACCTTCAGGTTTTTAAGTTATTCTTCTTTTTGCTATTCTTATAAACAAGTTGCTGGATATCTCAAGGTTAAAGAAGAGCTGATGTAACATTTCAGTGTAATAGGGGTTCACTTAGCATACGCTGGCCGTGAAGAGAACAAATGGAGCCTTTTTTCTCTCATGGCTATTTAGAAAAATAGCATTCATGATATTGATCCCAGGTAAATGTCTTCATAACTTACGGATATGTTTTTTGAAATGAAATTTCCTGTAAAGTCAGGTGCCAGTTAAACAATATTGATGCCTGTTTTTCTACCACCTTTCTTCCTTGAATACCTTAAACTTACTTTGGCATCACAGACCCATCCATAATTTACTGACAGAATCTAGGAAATGGTAGAGTGAGGAATAAAATACAGACCCATGGACAGAATATTTTAGCGATGACCTCTTATTGTTGGTTAGGAGCAACGTTGCTCCTTCTGATGCTCTTTCTGAGATTCTCCAGAGTGGACTTCTGATCTGAATAATTTTTCTTAGTACTTTAAGGAAATATTACCAGCTCAGATTTATTGTGGAGATTGCTTGAGATGGATTGGCAGCAGTGGCAAGCCTGTCCACCGGGGAAAAGTTCCTTCCTAAAAAAGCAGTTAGCATTTAAACAAGGCAATGTGAGCCCAGCAGAAACCCTGCTCTTGTGAAACTTGGGGAGCAAGAAGTGGGCTATCAGTTCTTGGATGGCAAAACTGTTCCAGCACTCTATTCATTTTTACACCATCTGAGTTCTTTTGCTTTTTTATTGACATACTAACCTTGCAGTGATTTCATTGCAATAGGTCTGGATGCCTGGTAGTGCAATACATGTAATTTGCTGCATATGATGGCCTCTACATAAAACACGGGATTATTTAAACTGTAGTCTGTGCTTCTGTCTCATCAAATGAGAAAGTGAAAATGGTTATTATGTCTTTATGTTAAGACGTCGTGTTGCTCTTTACAGGTTTATTTTCTCTGTCCAGAGTTAATAAATAGAGGAGGTAGGAAGACAGTGTATTCTTCAGGGATCTCTTAGTTTGGTGAGCATATATTAATTGTTACAATGAAAAGACATTGCTTTGGGTAAGAGCTGTGCATGCTTAAGTACTTGAAAAAGAAAATGTTTAATCTAATTGCAAAATTACAGCAGCTTCTCAATCCAAACAGCAACAAGATTTGTCAAAGAAAGATTTCAAACTTATTTTTTTGTTGTTTTCAGCTCAAAACTGAGTAGTGCTGTTATTCAAATGGGGACACTGAGAATGCATCTGAGATCTGACCAGGGGAACTATGGTAAAAGTGAAGACTGAATTCAGCGAAATGAATTTTGGAATTGAAAGATTTTTTCATTCTGCTGCAGCAAAGGAAGAATTAAAAATAAAGCAAAAAAATCAACAACTTGCCTCGCCATAAATATGAACAACCACTTTCATGATCCAAGGCTCTATAGTATGTCCCATACTATAAGCCAGGACTGTGTGTAAGGACAGCCATCACAAGCCATGGTAGTTAAGACAAGAAAAAGACTTAAAATAAAAACACAATGAAGATGAAAATAAAAGTTAAGCTGTGAAACAAACACTCCATGTGCTTACTCTTAATCAACTAAATGACTTCTGCAAGTAATATATTTAAACTGTCTCTCCCTTCTGACAGCATTTCCCACTATTATGTTCAGCTTATCAACTTATTCAAAATCTTCACCTTCATATTAATCGAAAACTTAGCCTGTCACTTCCTTACAAGAGTAAGAAATTGTATCACATAAGCACAAGTGATGGAGGGGGGGGAAAAAAAGAGTTTGGGGAAGTATGCATAGACTCTGGGTAGAGCTAAAGATATGTTTTGCTACCTCATGTGTGAAAGGATATCTGTAAAGATGGTTCTGCCAGGAAAGATTAAGTCATGCTTGAGAAGTGGGGCTCAACTGTGAGTTTGGTTATTGAATAAGTGCAGTGACTGTCCTTTGCTTTCAGGAGTGTTTTTAGCTATCTAGTCTTGATAAGCACAGGCAGAAAGAGAAGGTTGAGAAGGATATAGCTTCCAATTGTGATTAGGCTTCCGTACTGATAAAGGGATTTGGGACTGTCAGTTCATTTTCTTAAAGGTTCCATTACTGATTTCTCAAGACCATCATGCTTGCTGAATTTATTCTTTCTATATTGGCAGATTTCAGTGGTTGATGCCCCTTTGCATGTTTTTCAACGTTACCTTGATAACAAATTGATGCTGCATTCATTTTTGCAGTTCTCACACCATATAGAAAATAGTAACATAAACAGTTAAATTTCCATGATTAGTAATATTCACAACAGCTTGTATTTATTTTGTTAAATTTAGGCTATTAGTACATCTGTCAGAGACTTTTTCTGACTTTCAAATGCATTATTTCCCTTTTTATCTCTTGGCAGCTCTAGCAAGTAAGTTGAAGTTGCAGAAAGCTCCACTAGCTGTTGGCATTTATTAATAACAGTAGTGAAAGTTGGCAAAGGTTTTGATATGGAGGTCCTCTGAGCAAAGAGTATTCAAGGGGGAAGGCCAGCACAGCCAAAGCTGAGTAACTTCTTTTTGTGTGTGCTGGGCACCTGGGTGTATCTGTACAGCTTAAGGGTGGCCAGAGCCTGCTGAATGGTGGCAACAAAAAACAGAGAACCTGAGATGGCTTTAGAAGGCTTTCCATAAACACCCATGGGCATCCAGAGATGGCGAAAGTGAAGGAGGTGAATAATGAGATAAGGTTTGCAGTGCTGTGCGTTATAGAAGATAGCCCAGCATGCCAGGGTTAGATTTACAGTCCCTTGGCCCATCGCTGGCTGACAGTGTCAAGATACCACCTGTTTATTTCTCCCATACACCCTGAAACTCTGCAATCTTAGCAGTCAGTTTGTCTTTGCTCAATGAAAAGATGGCAGCCTTCCTCCCATATTAGGCAGTGCGACATCAGTTTTAGTTTCTTTGCTAACTTCTTACAAAACTGGGAGACTGTAGTCTGCTGTTAACGAAGTTAGCAATCTACCCAACATTCAATTTCCCTGTTGCTGTTATTTTGGAACTTATCAACTCTCTTTGACGCATCATGAAGCAGGAGGTTTATAATCCACTGTTGTTCTCACGTCCTCCTTTCTCAGACGCAAAGTGTCATCCTTCCTTGATCTTCAGCAAGCACGTGGATGGAATAAAAGACTGAGCCCTTCTCACCCTTCCTTCCGTCTGTGGACCACTTCCCCTGTGTTACATTTTAAGATGTAATTTAATAGCTAAAGGGGAGCTAATACAGGGGGGAAAAAAATTGATCGTGAATTTTCAGTGCTTGTAGAAGGTGCCAGATGGACAAGTGGTGGAGAGGGAGATCTTTCTTCATCAGAGGCCCTACAACATTGCCACTGCCAGCAGAAAGCTCCTCGTGTGCATGTTAACATCTCTTAATCCTGATGTGAGAGGCGTATCTCGGAGATCTCTGCGGTGGTGTTCTACTGCTAAGCTTTTTCTTGGTCTTTGCTCCAGGCTGACATTTTAGGCTCTTCCACTGTCTGTACCTGTCCCACAAAGGGGCAGGTGGGGAGGGAGCAAAGGATTTGGGCAAGGTGATGAACCACTCCTAGGCTGGGGAGGAGCGTGCGCGCTCACTGGAAAGGATAAAGGAGGAAGCTGGCAATTGCCAGACCCCTCCTTGGGTAGCTCTTGATTTTTGTGAGGATACAAAGGCAGCTGCAGATAAACAGAACAAGCAGTTGAAGCATGTCTCGCCTGCATGGATTGCTGAGATTGCCAGGGTATTATACAGCAGAAGTCTGTTTGAAACCAGGATTTATATAACTGATCCACTAAAATACTATAATGAATGGGGCACTGAGCTTTTAATCAAGAAGTGGTCTTTATAGCTAAAAAGTTATACCACAATAGCATTATGTAACCCAGTTGTACATTAAAAACAAAAAACAAAAAAACAAAAAAACAATGATTTAATACTGATGACTTTTACTATCTTATTACTCCCCTCTGTTAAATCTGCTATGCAGTGCATCGCTTGTTTTTCAGAGTGTGCTTTCAGCATCATGAGTATGTTGTAGGATGTTTATTTTGAAACAGGCCACAAACAGTACTGACTCTTCTTGGAGCTGTATCTGAGTGCTCACGCTGTCCATACCCACACAGAGCTGAAGCAGTACTCCTGCAAGTCTTGTAGTCACTGTCAACTCTAATGCGTTTTTGGTAGAAGCCAACCATTAATCTCAGAAAGCCTGAGGTTTCCTGAGAGATTTAGCAGTGAGCTCAGCACTAGGATGAAGGGTCAGGACAAATGTATGCAACTGGAAATCTTGTCCCTTGCTAGTGCATGGCCCGCCTCATCCTCTGCATGGCCCTGCTGTGATTACTGCATGTGATAAACTCCTCTAGCAAGTGATCAATGCTCTCCATCTTGAAAGGAAGCATCAGAGGTGTTGGTTTTAGCTGGGTTTCTTGCTATTACTGGCCTGCCCACAGCTCCACTTTGATAATAGGTTGTCAAAGTGGTTTTCCTGCCCATCCTGCATTCAGTGTTTATTTCTCATTACCATAGCCTGCTGACAACATTGGTGAATAGGAATTTTAGCAAACATGTGACAGCCTCTTCAAGGGAACACACATCCCTAGTAAGTTAATCAGCTCTGGATACCTACAAAGCAACTGTAATACAGGAAGAAGACTGATGGCATGAGGCAGCAGTAAATTGTTTCTTTGTGGGAAATACAGGGTAGTGGTGTAATTGGGACGATGGACCGTGTGACAGCAAACCTTTCACACGCGGCACACCCACAGAATGCTGCTCACACTTTTACATTCAGCCAAGCAGTGATGAGGCAGTGGCTAACCAGGAGAATCATTTTCCAATCAAATGGCAGAGTGGCTATTTATCCCCTGGCCAAAAGGTCTCTGTCAAGCCCCACTGCCTGTGGGATGTTCGCTTGGCATATTTATGCAAGGAAGTCTTGTGTGTGCTTTGTGTGTTGTAGGCTTTTTATTAAAGAAAAATGGCTGAAAAGACAGGGAAAATGGTAAAAATCTTTGTTGATGTATGTCCTATTGCATTCATTAAAGTGAGGTGGCAAAGTGGCAAATTCAGGGAAAGCTATGCAGAGTCTGTGCAGCCATGCAAAGGGAGTCTTTGCCAACGTTTAATAAAAGAGTGATCAGACATTGAATGTATGTACATGGGCTGACCTGGTTAATCAGTGCTTGGCTTGGCCAGATGTTGGAATATTCAAGTAGCTTAAAGAATGACCTGTAAACAGAGTCAACAGTGTTATGCACATACTGCTGGAGCATTAATCTGAACTTCCTGAGGGATTTAAAACACAAAGTAGAACTATGATTTTACAAGTGATTGGGATTGAGATTATCCAGTCTCAATATAGCTATTTCTTTTTCATGAAGCACATGATTTCTATAGAAGCAATTATCTTCTACTACTGGGAAAATCCCACAAGCAAAGAATTCAGTTATTATCTGAAAAGGGAAAACATGCAGTTTCAGTGCAATAAAATTCCCTGAATTATTTGACCTCTTCCCTATATATTAAATGTATGTACTCCAACTACAATACTATGTGTGTTTTTTAGCTTCAGAACAGTTTGAGATTTTTTTTTTAAGCATTTCTTCAAAAGCAAAGATTACATGTTGTTAGAAAAGTGGTAGTTTAGAAGCTTACAGTTTAGGAGCTTACAGCGGTCAGAGATTAATTCTTCTCTCCAGTGATCACCTGCAGCTTTTTTGCAGACATTTGCATCTTTTCTTTAAATCCTAGAGTTCTGCAGACAAGTACTTATTTTTTTTTTCCTTGTCCTGCTTTTCATCCCCATGCACAACTCTTAGATTAGTTGCAATTAAAAAAACTGTAACTTGCAGTGTTATAAACTTACTGTATTTCTACTTAAACTAATAAGCTTGTTTTGGATTTACACCCATATAAATTGAGAGGAGAATCTGTCTAATTATGCATTTATAAGTGCACACCTTTAAAAAATCCTTATATTTTTATGTTATGTTTCACTAATATTTCTGAGTTATGTTTCACTAATATTTCTGAGACATTGAGCAATAATATTTTTGAGACTTGAACCATTTGGATTCACTTATCTACTTATTTTGTGAATATTATACCTCCTTTGGTCATCTGACTTTTCTTGCGGGTGCTGTTATACAGCTTATGCTTTAATGCTGCTGCTGTTCAGCTGTGTCTGTCATGGATTACTGCAGACAGACCTGTTTACTTTAGGTAGGTATCCAAGTTCAAGTATGTGAAGTTCGTTTACTTCAGTACTTAGCCCAAATGTGGGTCATATTCTTTGCAGAGTGTCTGTGCATGTCTTAAAATTGCATCTTAATTTCTGCCTACTTTCAATTGGGGTTATGTTTATACAGAAATATATATATTTCCTAGGACATCCAAAATTCAATGTAAGTTATTAATGGTGTTTCAAAGTAAAACCATGAACAACCCATGTATCTCGAAGGTTGAACACTTTGGTATCACAATGCTTGGTCCAGTATTGCTTAGAGCTCGGATTTTAATGTTTGAGAGGTAGGTTACCAACAAACCTATCTGATTGCATCATATGTAATCCATCAGACCCTATGGAGCTCTGGTAAAAGCTTTGATTTTGGTACTTAAAATTTCAGTTTGAAGTACTTATAGACACTGGAAATAATCCTTCCCTCTGCATTTAAGTTTAAAAAAAAAAAAA